ATCTTTGATCTTTGGTACAACAGCTTGATGAAGGATCGTAATGTTATTTTTGTCTCTGTTTGAAGAATCCATTTGAAACATGCTTTCTTGAACAGTGTGATTCTCCTGACTATGAATATCCTCTCCAGATGTTATTTGAGTTGCTGGAACTATGATATTTTCAGAAAGCTCCTCTGTTTCATTTTTAACTAAAGTATTCTGAATATCAGACTGAGTCCCTTGGATAACAAAGCTATGATTCTGTTGTTCTTTTACAGAAATGTCAGAATCAGTAACACTTTGGGGATACTGGAAGTCAATTTTTTCTCCACTGCTTTCTTTGAGTTTTTCTTCAGAGTTTTCATTCGTTTTGTTTAAGTCCTCCCCCAAACAATCATCTCTTACTGGAAAATTGTGTTTATTCGCTACAGGATTTGACTCCTTTTTTAAACGAGTCTCTGAAACAGCAAAGGATTCTGCTTTTGTTACCATTTCCTCAGCTGCTGGACTACAGATTTCCACTTGTAATGACGAGAAATTGGTTTCAATGAGTGATCTTGTTTCGGACTCTTTTAACCCCACAGTTGTTTGGGTATGGTGAGTGTGATCTTCTAATCGGTGTGATGAATCAGTCCTTCTTGGTTCAAGATTTTCACGTCCAGAACTTGAAATCACATCTCCGGGAAATGAACCTAATGTTTCCTCTGATGAAGATAGCGTTTCATTATTTTGGCCCTTTGGGATTTCAGCAGACCTAACTTTATCTCTCTTTTCCTCATCCTCAGAGGCAGCACGACCTACTGTTTCCGTCAAAGAGGTTTCATGATGTTGGTGTTTTAATTCCAACTGCTGCATTTCTTCAGTTGTTGAGTCCAACCTGCCTGTTTCAGATGTCAAGACATCTGTCGATGCTCTCTGAAGTGCTTCAACTGAAGTTTCTTTTTTCTCATCGGTGTCAGACAGGCTTTTAGAAGATGCAGATTCGGAGTATCTCCCATAGTTGTGCTCAATCTGTACAGAATCTGGTGGTGGAGATGATGAATCGTGGCTAGTGTCCGGTGGATCAAAAGAACCTTCCTCTACGGTACGCTTAGCTTTGTTGGAATATTTTTTGATGCAACAGGTCTTGTCAACATCCTCCCGCTCCCTGAAGAAGTCTACCTTACTCCTGTCGCTGCTCGGCTCCTCATCAGACTCTGTGGAGGCGCTCCGCTTCAGGGAACCTTTGGAGTTTTCTCTTTGGGAGAGTACTTCTCCGCAGGAGGCACTTGTGGCTTTCAGAAGCTTGGCTTTTTTAAGAGGGGGGTCTGAGGGGGTCGCAATGGAATCACTAGAAGGAGAACTCGGTTTCAATAATTCATTTCCATCTTCAACAGAGGAAGACCTTTTTTTCTTAGCCCGTGGGGTTCCTGTCTTTTCTTGCTCTACTCCTGTCTGTAGAGCGTTGGTAGTTGGTCCAGTTTTTGATTGTAATTCTTCGCCATCCTCTTCCACCTTTCTCATCTTCGACTGTGGTTCATGAGGAGACGATTCTCTCTTTGAGGCCGGCATTCTGTTAAGATATTAAAGCATCATCAGGCTTGGACTGAAACACACACACAAAAAGGTACAGTGCTGAAGATTAAAAACAATTATTAGGAGATTGAATGTCGTTGATTATCTGCTTAAATTACAGTTCTAGCTGGATGTTTAGCTGTTCGCCCTTTCAGAAATAGCAGTATTAAATTTAGTCATTCGGGTTCATGGCCCTGACCTCACTTTAATCTAAGTTTGTTCATTTAAACTGAGCATTAACCTGCTTTATTTCCATCTATTCATTGTAAATTTATTTCAATCAACTGAAGATCCTGTGATAATCTTTATAGTAAGATGGGTTTTAAATGTTCTAGAACAGGGGTCTTCAATGTTTTACAGGCCAAGGAACCCTAAAGTGATGGTGAGATGGAGTGGGGACCCCCTAATTATATATATTGTGTTACATTGTGTTATATCAAACTGGTCCTATTGTCATTCTATTACAGATGGAGACATGTAATGAAAGTAAATTTGCCCTGGGATTATTAAAGTATTTCTGAATCTGATTCCTGGTTGATTGGACAGATGTTAACTAGACAGTCAAATACACAATCAAATTCATCCTGAAACTTTAAATCAATACCCAGCCCTACAATTAAGCCACAAAGGTAAGAAGTATTTGTGTGTGTCACCAGGTGAGGTGCTGAACTGAGGAATACATCATCACCTTTTAGACATGGTGATGACAGCATCATCCTGTGGGACAGTTTCACATTCCAAGATAAGAGTCAACTTTCAGGCACTGAACTGTGGACAGGATCGGGTGCTAAAAAAACATAATGATCCATTACCCATAATTAATGTCCCATGAATAGACAAAGAATAGTGAGCATCAATGACTCACTGAAGAACCCAGAACATATAAAACATAGCAGACCTCAGTCACATCAAGTAACCCTATTCCAAATCAGTAAAAAAAAAAAAAAAAAAAAAAAAAAAAGGAAAATAGAAAACCAAAACAATCTAATTAGTGTTGAATTCAACTCAATGCTAATTCTGACATTTTAAATTGAAAAAGCTTCCTGGATGGAATGCGAAACGTCTTCAAAGTTGTAAACAAAGTTCAGTGGATTGTTTTTTTTTTCCCCCCTTTTTGGAACGACTATGACCTGGATGACTGAGAATCTTCACCAGCGCAAGTAACCTGATATGACAATAAATAAATCTGAGCAAAAAAAAATGCATCAATGGGCTGGTTTACAGAGAAAACACTGCAAACAAAACAAACAATAAAAAAATAAAAAAAACAGATGAACAAAACAGGCCCAGTTCACGTTTGGCTTTGTGCATTTTGCACAAAGAATTTTCAAAATCCAAAAAAAGTTTGATGAAAATCTCCTTCTGCTATGATGCTACAGTACCTGGATGTTTAGGCATGTTTGTTGGAAACTTTATCTCCTACAACATGAAATCTCAAAGAACAAAACCTAGCCATCACTTTGTAAACTTAGATATTGTCTTCATAATATTTTGAAGGGCATTGACCAAAGCAATAGGGCAAATTTAAAAGAATAAATGAATAAAGGTATTGGAATGTGTTAATAAAAGTCAGGATTTAAATCAGAACAGCTTAGATTTGGATTACATTAAAGAAACTGTTGTGGTTGAATTGTTAGAGTGCATCTAATTCAGCTTGCACTTAGGACTTAATAATAAAACAAAGCCTTGGAGTCATCTACTTTCACATAATTTAAAATTAAATAGTGCCAAAGAAAAACATGCAAATACTGGTACCAAAGCATGCCTCATATCATAGGTCTGCAGGTCCTGACCTGATGCAGTAGGTGTTTATCATACATGCAACAAGCCAGGCTAATGGTGGACATAAACAGATGAATCTGAATTAAAGTAGCTGCTTAGCAAGTAACACGACGTACGATCAACTTTAATTCGCTTATTCCCTGATTTGAGCAAATTATCTGAGCGATTATCTAACAGATAGATGGGGCACTTCTCTGTGTGGAGAGCATGCAGTCAGAAATGGACAGTTAGCTGATAGATAGCAGAGAGGAGCAGGGAGCTAACGCTAGCCGCTGCCAACTCGCAGAAAAATAAGCGCAGCGAGACTTACAAAGAGCAAAACAGCTGCTCCACACTCTGATCACAATCCCCACTGAGGCTTACCGACATTACCAAGAAGGTAAAACCGCAACACGTACCTGATAAACTCACTTTGATGTTTTCTTTCTCAACAACAGCTGTTTTTTTTCTCCCCGTGAATAAAAATTAACTGTACTTCCGGAGAGAGACGGCGGATGTGACGTAATCACGTACTGTCCCTGCTCCGAAAGTTGAATTTATTTTGCACGAAATCAAAAATATATAATTCATTGGAAACAGAGCAGTACTTCCAAGGATATTTTTGAGAGATTTTTTAAAAGAATTTATTTATTTATTTTGTTTTTTTTGTATGTATTTTATTTTAGACCACCTTTCCATTGTTCTTCTGTATAATTGTTTGTAAGATCTGTATAATTTTTTTTGTTTTTGTTTCAATAAAAAAAGCTGAATTTATTTTGTGGAAAATAGAGCGATAACATCAATAGGGGGAGCTCTGTGTTTATGATGTTCGTTTATTTGGTAACATGACATTAAAAGGATTGATTTGAGAAAGTAATCGCAGGGGGAAAAATGAAATGATTAAAAGTCAATAAATAATCAAAACGTTGTACATACACTTTGTCATAAGTTCACTATTTCTTTATACCAATTGATATAAGAACATTAAAATGACAGTTTTTTTTAATATCTTAGTCATGTCAATGTAAATCCTGCAGATTCTCAAGTGAGAGAAATTATTTGGTTAAAAAAAAGTTATTCAAGTACTGAGAAACTAATTACACAAATCCATGCAAAAGTAACACTTTTACAAAATATTTTTTTGGCATAAACCTAAGAAGCCACTCCTCACAATTGGTAACTAATACATATTAGAACAATGTAAAATACCTCAGTGACATTATTTTTAATATGTGGACAGACTGTATATACCCCATGCACCTTCTTCTTTTTGACTATAGAGCTGATGTAACGAGTACATTTCTCCACTGTGAGATCAATAGGGTCAACCAATCAATCACGTCAAAAAGGTCACTCAAGCAAATATCACTGAGTGAAAAAATTATTTACTACCCCCCTCTGTTTTTTTAATCACTGAGGAAATCCTGACTGGAGATGCTGAAACCTGTAAAAATGCAGTGTAAATTTACATTTTAAACTAAACCAGTGAAGCATAAAAAAACAAGCATGCTTGTTTTATTTTAGATATTATAAAACATCGCTTTATAGTGCTTTGCCATTACCTTTAAAAAAAGTGTTACCTAGTTAAATTTTCCTCGACAGTGAAGCGCTGCTCTACAGCTCAAATGCTTTGGTTTGTATTAATTTAGTCCTGCTTGGGATTTGTTTAATTGCAGAGCAAACCAGAGACAAACTGAAATCAGAGCTTGAATGATTTTATTCTTTCTCAGCACATAACATTAATGGAAAGCAGAACAAAGTGCAGCGTTTTACAGTTGTCAAACTTAAATACTCAGAAAAGGTCCAGAGGAAATGTTCAGCATATCTGTAAGTTTGCAGATGAGTGACTAAGGAAAAGGGTTTTTATTGATCTATGCATCAGAGAGGAAAGAAGCATCAATAGTCGCCAGCGCCTTAAACTGTTACTTTTTCATCTCCAGTATTCCACTTCCAGGTCTTCGCTTTTTTGCACTGCAGATGTTACAGAACTGCGTCCCAGGAATCTGAGAACAAAGGAAAGTTACAGATAAAGTGATGCAGAAACAAAGTGTCAAATTAGAAAATGCAAACCAAGAGGATCCACCTACAGGGCCAGAAGACGGTAAACACTCCTTGTGGAACATATGTCTGCAGTGAAACACCACAACACTAAACGACTGCGCCATATCTGAAACACAAACATGAAGCCTGATTAGGCAAACAGCAACGACAAAATAACCCAACAGCATAGCTGGATGCAGCTACGTCCAGTTACCTGAGGGTAATATTGAGCTGTGACACGACTCACAGATGTTCCCCTCTGAAAGAACAAAACAGAAGCAGCAAATTTAGGAATCTGCTTAAACAGCCATTAAATCAACTTAATCTGTAAACAGACTGACCATCCACTCTGACTGCTCTTGTTTGGGTTCGATGCATCTTCTGGAGCAAAGAGAGCGAGTCGGCTACAAGGATCTTTTTGCATCCTTCTCGGAGGAGAATCTTCAAAAGAGGAAAACTGGTTTAGAAAAATGCTTTCAGAAAAACCCTTCATGATGTTTCTGTTCTGGATCAATCGGAATAAATTAACAGCAAGGGTACTTAAAGCAAGCTTAAGCGTTTCTCTTTTAATTTAAATTTCTAATCGTTTTATATACACATATATACACAGGACGGTTGGGATTATGGACCTTTGTAAGAATATTCAAACTCCTTTTTCTAAATATTTATATTTTTTAAAAGAAATATTTAAATATTTGTCATTTTCTTACAGGCTAAGATGAAATTAAAGAATGGTCGTTCATCCCCTTTTACTCCGTTAAAACAATCTGTTACCTTTAAAAATCACCATAATTAGTCAATAATGTAGATAAAAATATAATGGTTCTAATTATTTATCATTTTTTCTAGCTGTTCCTTAGAAAAACATTACAGTTTAAGGAACAGAACAAACATTATAGAATTTGTTTCGATCAGATTCGATCAAAATGAAAGGCTTTGGTTTACATGCAAAATGCAACAAGACGAGAAAACTTAATGTTGCACATCATCTTGAATAAACCAGTCCTAAAGTGAAGCAAGGCAATGGCAGCATTGTGCTGTGGGAATGCGTTTTGTCAGCTGGGATAGGAAAGCTATGCCCCTTTTCAACTGGCTCCCATTCCCCTCCACCCAACCAGTTCATAAACATTTCTTTTTCAGCGCCCTTTTCCTTTTTGATCATACTTACTCCTGTGCATGGCATACTACTTTTTTTTCGTATTATGTAATATTTAAAACTTTTACAAAGGATTCAAAATCCAATCCTTTGCAAAAGTTTTGGACTTTTGCAAAGGATTGGATACATTGGATCCAAGCAACGTATAAGTCTGATGCCTTTTTGCAGAGTATATTAGGTGAAACTATAGACCTCCAGTGAGATCTGGACAAACCTGCAGGTTGTAGTCGTGGAGAATTTTCACCAGTGAGTCTCTGAGGTTTGGGATCTCCATCCCCTCCTTTATGCGTTTGATGAGCAGAATGGGATCCACGTGAGTACCAATGTTATTAAGGAGCCCGGTAATGAATGCTGGAAGCAGTCATAAAATCAAAAAGGTAACAAATCAAATGATAGATTGACACGGTAATAAGGTGGAGCAGCTCTAATTAGAGAGCAGGAGATGTGATTTCTTACGTGGCTTGTCTATAGAGTAAGAGATGAGATCTTCCCACAGCTCTGCGTCGTCCTGCTCTTTAGCAAACTCTATAGCTTTGTCCACATCCTCTAACTCCTCCATGATCATCTGGAGGGCTCGTCTACAGTTTCCCATCCTGCCTGTATGGGTAAAAAAAAACAAATTAGATCCTTGATTTCTATCAAACAAATCTTTCCATCATCAATGCTCACTGAGAAGGAAGACTGTCTCCTCCACGAAGTTCCTCTGCTGACAAATCTCAAGAGCCTGTGCAAAAAAGTGAAAATAAGATAAGGCTAAAAAGTGTTTTTTCTTCACTTTTGCTGACCTATATTTAGTAAGACACACCTTTTCAAGAGGACAGTGGGTGCTATCCCTCAAAAAAGGAAGAAGGTTTGGTCGGTCATACTCCGCGTATAAACCAATCTGCCTTTCATGGTACTTCTGGCCTCTGTGGTGGTCCCGCTTGAACAGTTTATGGAGGTACTGAGAGGGGAGGGGAAAAAAAAAATCAAGAAAATAGTGTGATACAACGTAAAATTCTTCAGACTTTAGAAGTAAAGCATCAGCTCACCACATGCAGTAGCTCAGGCCTTCCATCCAGTTCCTGAACCACTCTGTCTATCTGTTTGAAGAAGTGCAGAAAGCGTCAGCAGAGGGCGCTTTTCCCAACAGAAGGAACGCTTTTAGAACAGTGCAGTGCACTTACTGATATCTTGTCTTCATTGTCGAGAAGCATATCAACAGCTTTCTATCAACATAAAAACCATGTATAACATGAGCAGGACTTGAAAAAAAAATCTGTTAAAATGCAACATTTCTGAGTTACAAAAAGACATGACAAATATTTTCACTTCTAACATGACATATTCTTTATAATAACCTAATACACACTGATTTGAGTGTACTGTGTACTCCCTTAAAATTACTCTTTACTCAAATTCCTTCAGATTTCCGGCCATTCTCCAAATTCATAAAAACGTCAGATTTTCTATTAAGCTCCATACTCTACTTACTAAATCTTGTTATTCTCTCACTGTCATATGTGTTTTATATTTTGATGTACACTTAGATTCAGATCTGAATAAATGGAATGACTCCTCATCCTCCGGCTTCTAGCAGAGATCTGAAGGTCTTGAATCCAAACTGGCTGATGTCTGGAACGGATTGTGGTCTTATCCACCTTCATAAGAGAGTGAGATTCATTTGCATACGGACTGACGAGAGATCAGCTTAGTTTCCTTACCTCCTTGTCAAACTCCATCAGGAGGACGATCTTGTCCTCGATGGAGGAGAACAGGTTGTGTTTGTGGATCAGCTGGTAGACGTCTTTGTGCCTAAGCCTCAGGTAGATTTCCAGGGCTCGGTCATAGCGCTGGTCATAAGTGTACCTTAAGTTGAATAAAACCCAAAGAAGGATTCAAATCTTTAGCAGACACAATGTTAAAATTTGCAGGTCTGTAATTTTGTTTTAAAAGAATGTAGTAGATGTGTGAGCGTCACTCACAGTTCAGCCAGCGTGGTGAGCAGTGTGCTGTTGGTGGGATCCCTCTTTAGGTGGTCGTTGACGGCTTGAACGATGGCCATGTTGTTGTAAAGTTCTCCTGGCCATTCACGGATCAGTGTAGCAAAACCCTTTTAGGGAAAAGATGGCAAGAGTGAGAACTGCAACTCAGTTGTAAACATGACAAAAACAGTAAGAGAAGACAAAGTACCTCATAGTCCGTTTTTAGGAATTCGTGCAGGATCATTTCATAAATGGCCGGTCTGAGACGCAGATCTCCTCTCGGCAAATACTGACTGATGGCCTGAAGGTAAAGAGGAGGTGAAACACTAAAGATGTCACTAATTTGAAGAAAAATGTTTTAATTGCTTGAAGTTAATTCTATCATTCTACCTTCAGCTGCCCAATGGTCTTAAACCGGTACACCTCGTTCTCCCACAGCTCCATGTTCTTTCCAAGAACCTTTTGACATTTTCTGCAAAAAAGCAAAACTTTAATCAATCTAAATATTTTTGACTTCTTGTAGTGAATTTAACCACTCTTCTAGTCAGAGTTGGGATATTTACTTCTTACGTTCCGATCTTCTGGAAGCAGTAAACTATTTATCCATTTCAAAGTGTGTTTGAGATCACTGCCCTGTTTAAATCCAGGTTTTCCCTATTTGATCCAAACCTTAGATGAATGGAAATTAGTTCTGATATTCAAGAACAACTCAGAAACCCAAGCCTATCATTTGCTGGAAGATGCTGCAGCACCAGACTCACTCTCCAGAATGAAATAATTTTAGTATCAACATGAAATGAAAGGGTGCTGAGGAACAGCTGTTTTAAATGGAAATGTGCAGCTTGCCTTAAAGACCAATTCAGACTGAGCTGCTTGGCAGCAATGATGAAACAAAGTTTTCAGTACTAACGGCTAAGCATCGTGATGGAAGCATCATGCTGTGGGGCTGCTTTGCCATAAGTGGAGCTGGTGCATAGCACAGGTTGGATGGAACAGAGAAGGAGGGCTTATTTTTCATTTATCTAACTCCTCACATAAAAAGCTAGGCGGTTGAAACTAGAACACAGTTCGGTGTTCCAATATGAGTGAATCAGGCTAACAGCTAGCATAAATAAGTAGTTCCCAAAGCCCTGACCTCCTCCTCATTAATAGAATATAATCTGCTAATAAAAAAAAACAAAAAAAAAACAAAAAACAAAACAAAACAAATATTCTGGCAGTGAGTACAACTCCTTCTTTATTAGCATTTATTTGTTTAATTTTAATGAGGATGTTCATATTTGAACCTGCATATACTTACTTAAAGGTATGGTAGAGGATTTTTTAAAAGACGCAACCTCCCCACTAAAAAAAAAAAAAAAATGCACGTGTAAAAGTGTGCACAAGTCCATTTCTCCTCGTGCACGCCCTGTTTAAAATGTGCTGTTCTCGTAGCTCATACAAGCTTACCACATACAGTGGGGACTAAATAGTGGACCTTATAGCAAACTCAGTTAACAGACCATCACAAAGATGATCACCGCTTTTTGTTCCGTTGGTCACAGAATTCCTCCTCCACTGTGCGGTGCCAGAGCCATCTTTGTTATTAGTCGTCACTGTGTTGTAGCGACAGCTGGCCATTCACAACAAATCCCATAATGCTTTGCGAGGAGAGTTCTCCATGCAAAACATTCTGGGCTATATCTGCCTCTTCTGAAGCCCTTCTTCTCTTCTCATACACTTCGTAGACACTTTCTCTTACGACCCTCGGCCATTTTTAAAAGAAGTACAGTAAGACAGTTGAGCTTCAATGACCCTAGCTCACCACACATATGCAACTGAAAGTGTGCATACGCAGAAAAAGATGGCTAATGGGGCGAGCACATACGACGGCCTTACGAAAACATATCACCAGAACGATTGACAATTAGGAGGAAGACTTATTTAGATGATCCACCTGTAAATAAAAGATCATCCTCTATACCTTTAATCTAAACTTTTGCACTCAGTTCTTGTTTTTAAAGAACTACGTGCATAATCATTTATCCCTGTAAAAAGAACAGATCTAAGAAATCATAATATTCCTCTAACAAAAAGGTAATTTAACAAACACGAGAACTTTACTTAAAAAGAAAATCTATTTTCTCTCCATTAAATTGAAAACATTTGTCTAAATTCAGCTCTTTAAAAGTGTTTTTTTTTTTTTTTTTTCTGTCTTTGCCAGAGTATATCTGTGCTACACGCAGGTTTTTTTTTTTTTTTTTTTCTGTCTTTGCCAGAGTATATCTGTGCTACACGCAGGACTGACCTGGCAGCGGTGTCATAGTCTCTGTTCTCCACCAGGTGATTGATGTAAGCCATCCCTATTTTCTGAACGTCGTGCCTCTTGATGTTTTTGAAGCTGATCTCTGCAGCCATCAGCGCCTCCTGTCTCAGAGAAAGGATGCAGAATTAAACTCTGACATTCCTTCTTAACCTTTAACAGTCACTGGCTAAAGTTCAGCAACACAAACCTCATATTTCTTCTTCTCGAGGAGCCAATCGATGTGGTCGTCCTGGTCTCGCTCTTTAGCCACAACAATGTCTTTGGGACTGATGATGTAGAAGAGCGGCTCTCCCTCTGAATGCTCTGTTAATGAAAATACATTTATGGCTCTGCGTCCCGAGCATTAGCGCTGACATTTACTAGTCGATGCATAATAAAATCAGACTGCAGAGAAAGGCTGGGTGACATTTCACCCAGGGTGAGTTTGATGGTCTCACCGAGGCGGTAGTCCCTGCACTCATTGTCTTGGTAGCAGCGAACACTCAGAGCATCTGAGGAGATCTCCTCACAGCTCTCGGGGAGAGGCTGGATGATGTCGAGACGAGGCCGCGCGCGAACCTCTTCATCCTGCATGCAGGCATAACAGGTTATCGCCTAATACTACACATTTATATGTTCTGTTAATCCACATGTTTAAAAAAGGTTAGCTATACCATCTGGTCCAAGTACTCCTGCACAAAAAACAGCGAGACAAGCTGATCCGCCAGCGGAGCCAGACCACAGATGAAGAACTCTGTCTCGAATGCAGACACTGAAAGCAGCAGTTTTTAAAGAAGAATGTGATATATATATATATATATATATATATATATATATGAAACTTAAATCTGGGTTAAAACATGATACATTTCACATATTTGATTAAGAAAACTATCAGTGAGTATCCAAGTCTGTCAAAGATATTAGTAAAGTAAAGGGGAGATAAAGATAAAGATTTTTGTTTCTTCATAACGAAAATAAAGACTATCATCACCCATTGAGTTTCTGGGGTTTTTATTGTTCTACTTTTAGAATCAAAGTTGTCTTTATGGATCAACTCTTTTACACACTGTACTATTAGGAACATTCATTGATGGAATGAGCTGAATATATACATATATATAAAGATAATATTTGGTCTTACCAATTTTTGTCAAAAAGTGAATACCGGTACATTGTTTTTAAGCAAAATGAAATAAAATTATTATCAATATTAAATCTGTGGTGTCATCAGTATTTAAATAGTCTAGAAAAATGAAAATAAGTTTGCTTTGTTATTCTTAATTATTATATAAAATATTATTGTATTTTTGTATCTTGGACTTTTATTGTATCCTTTTATTTTATATAATATGTATAATTTAATTTTGTCACAAGTCTACAAATGTCATTGTTTCTTTTAGCTTAGATTTTTTTGTTTTTCTAAATTTTGGGGGGGAGAGAACTATGGAGGAAGTTTGTTTTTTCCCTCTGTGATTCTTGATGTGTGTTATACTGTCCGTATAATACTGTGTTGTGTTGTCTGTAATTTGTTTTGTTTCATGGACGAGAGGGCACAGCTCAAGGGGCATTCCATTAATAAACAACAAACAACAAACAAAACAATAAAAATAAATCACTGTTCAAATGTGTTTGGTTGTCATATCATAAGAGTGGAAAAGAAAAAAATACAGAAAAAAAATCTAAAAGTTAAAGCAGTTTGGTGTAATCAATGTAATATCAATGTAGAAAAAAAGCCTCAAAAAAAAAAAAAACTATAATAACATGTAATTCATTTGTGGTTTAAAGAAAATACAATATGACAATAAGATACTTGTCTTCGACACCTTTCTTACTTTGTTTAGGAAAATCATTAATTAAATAAATTAAAATTACAAAAATGAAACTCTACTTCCTGGTGTGATTATTATTTAATTGAAAGAAAAAAAAAGAAAATCTGATTAGTGTAGAATACAAATCTGTTTTTAAATACATTTTAAAAAGTACATTTGTACTAAAACCTTTAACTTATTTTGCCTTATTATATGTCCAATGTTTGAGATCAGATGAACAGCACATTAGCTATTTAATGCAAAGTGCCAAATGCATTTAGATTTAACTGATTCTATAACAGAACAGGTATTTTTCCTCCCTTGTTTCATTATAAAAATCCTTTGAACTTGGATCCATTCATCTACTTTCTGTACTTTAATTCTTCTCACTATACAGAAACATAAGAAAAATGTCTGAGTCAGCTGTAAATGTGCTGATGATAAAACCTAAGCAGATACATTGTCTGCTCTACTGTAGCGTTATTTACCTATTTCCACGTAGCGATTGGGCAAATCTCTCATTTCAGTGGGATTTCGCACTTTAACTACACAAATCTGGGGAGAAACAAGATGACATTAAAACATGGAAGAAGTAGTGCCTGAAATAAAGAAGATGAAGAAGAAGAAGAAGAAGCAGACCTTGATGGAATTACCCCAGCCCACAATGAGTGTGGCGTCGTCTTTCCAACACAGGCTGCAGGGGTACATGTCAGGCCGCAGACTCACGTTATCCCTCAGCACGTTGGTGATCCGCTGCTTTGTGCTGAAGTCATAGATTTTTACTCCCTGGGGGAAAAAAAGGAAAATGATGCCACATAACTGTTGCAGTCATAGTGGACATGAGGTTTGAGATTTGGGAAGCTGTTGCTTACCAGGTTGTTGGCCCAAGCTATAAGGTTGGCTCTCCACTTCACATTAGTGATCGTGCCCTCACCCTCATGAAGGACTGAAGTCTTCCATCGATTCAGCCAGTTTCTCTCATACAGGAGCAGCTTGAAAGAAAGAAAGACTTTAATGTACAGCAGTTGCAAAACTAATCAGATGTTTTGTACATTTAAAATACTGTAACGTTACAAGAAAACTGCAGTGTATTTTATCTGGTCATTGGTTTATCATTGTGTGGTAAACTAAAACAAGTGAAAGATTTCAAGTAAAAATATTAAAATCAGAAAAGTGTGGCTCATTTGCATTCAACTCCTAAAAAGGAAAAACACTTTCTGCTTCAGTTACAGCTGCAAGACCTATGATGATTATCTGTGTCAGATCAGTGCCTGGACTCTTTGCCAGGACTCTGTTCCACATTTAATACCATCCAAAACATCTGATGGCTCAGAAGATACACCAGAGCAACACCCTCCCATCCTCCTGTCTGATCCACCTCTTAATTACTGGTCTTTTTTTTGAGGTTTAACTATTTTTCTAATGAGTTCTCTGCTCTACAAGAAGACATCCTGGAGAACAGAGACGTGCTCTGGCATGGACCTTTACTTCCTTTCCAATACTTTAATGTCAGCAATTTGTTGAAAAATCTGTTCGTTTTTTTCTGTCTGATTTAGATTCAATTCTGTTCAACCTTAAGACATGTTTTAGAGTCATCTACTTTACAAAGAAGTGTAATTTAAAGTGTTTAAAGCGGATTCAGTCAAAAGAACTGGGTGAAAGCTCCAAGGTGTAAGCACCTTCAGGGGGCAGCTGCTTCCATTTCACAGAACAATAAGTTAAACACGTTAAAACAATATCCCAGTATTACCAAGCATTTAGGTCTGAGCTTTGACTAGACCATTTATATACATGAATGTTACCTGTTCTATGCCAACCTTCACTTACAAACATTCTGTGCCTCCCTCACATAGCGCTTATTTTGACATACTTATTTGCACATTCATGCTTGTGCATAAGGGCACATAGCCAAAACCATAAAACCTTAATAAGTGCTTCTTATTGGTGAAATAACACTTGGTCTTTTGTCTTTACAGAGATCAGCTTTCTGGATGAAGCAGCTACAAATCATCGTATTAAAAAAACCAAGACTGATGGTAATTTCCTCCCGTCATTATGTTTCAAAGCTGTGCCAATAGCATGTTTTATTTTTGCTTCAATTTATCCACCATATTGGATTTAAGGTGATGCATCTAACTGCGGAGCCAAATGTGAAGATGAGCAGCAGATGATGAAACTGGCTCTTTTGCTCAAAGCAATTTTTATTTAAAATGTGTAAAATGTTAACTGCTAGAAAACTTGCTTCCTGTGTTCCCTATAGGATTAGCAACAAACAGCAACTGCATAGGTGGCCATACAGCAGCAGGTTTGATGTTATCCTAACTACTAATCAAAGAGGATTTTGCATCCCTGTTCCTGAACTGTCTGTTGTTCTTTATTTCCCTAATGTGAACCTTGGAGGCCCTCACATATCATTTTAAACTGAGATTTAACTAAAAATATACATTGACTAACTCATTAAAAATGATCATAATTAGGGGTTTTATTAGGAAACGGGGTACAGATAAATGCATGCCACACCTTTAACATCGTAAAAAGTATTTCAGTTCCACATCAAACTTATGCAGCCCTTATTCATATTATATTGGTCTATTACAAAAAAATCTCATACTATGTTGAAGTTTTTGGCGGGAATTTTACTTAAATATATATAATGTACTTTGGATAGTATGATTAAAATCCATTATAATATATTTAAGTATAATTTAGCAGTTGTTTAAGAAGCCTAGCCCTCTTTATATAAGAATAATAATTTGAGTCTTATTCTAGAATTTCAATCAAACAATATTTATACCAAGTAACTGGTAAATAAAGTTCAAGTTAATATCTCGAGCTGAAATATCCTAAGTAACAGTTAAACTTGTTTCTATACTGAGCTTAATTAACTTATGCAAAACCTGTCTGTAAATATACATTCTTTTAACAGAAGACTAAGAAAAAATCTCAAACAGGTGTTTTTTCCCCTTGAAATCCTATTATTTATTTTTTTTAAGTACAGAGTGATATCAAACAACTCTGCAGTGCAGTAATGCAGATTAGCCTACAGAGGGCAGTAGATAAACAGCATACAGCTGCTGGAGTTACCTGTTAAGTTAAGGAGTAGAAGCCTCATAAATTTAAGTCAAACTGTACATAATGACATAAAAGCTTTTTCCTTTTCATACGCGGACTTACTTTCACTTAGGAGCGTTTTGCTAAATGGAAAATTAAGACAGATTGTTCATTTGACTGCAGTGAAGCAGGACAAGCTTCAGGTCCACTGATGTAGGAAGTCATTCTGAACGCACAAGTGGGTCGACAAATTTTGCGCACAGTCTGTGTAGAAGCCGTAAAGGCGGTGGTGAAAATGTGGTGCATTATAGGCATGATTTCACACCCTTATCTCTCATCATGAGGCTGGCTGCCTCTTTTGGCCGCACACCATTTATTGAGGAAAATGAGATTGGTGTAAAATAAAGCATATTTAAAAATCAGCCCCTGTGTTATCATTACAGATGGAATTCACAGCCTTGCGTTGGCTTTATCTTTTGCACATTCTCTGCGTTGTCTGCATCCTAACTGTACAAAGTTGAACAAAAAGCCTCCAAAAGAAGGACAGATTTGTTACCAAAGAGGTAGAATTCACTCTAATTCAGCATTTGGGCTATGTTAATAAACAGTTTGCTCTACAAAGAGATGATACGACAAAAGAACTGGGGAGACAAAATTGAATTTCCTTTGACAGGATGTGGCGCCCGTTGAGGCTTATTGATTTTCATCACAGGCACCTTGTGGAGGCCTTCACAACATGGAAGGGAGAGGAATCAGCAGCAATTGAAAGAAAATGGCAAAGTAACGCTAATAATGGAGTTTTATGGAGAAAGTTTTTCCTCACACTGCTGTATAAATGTCAGTGCACCTTATTTATGGCTCAATGACGCGAGATCAGAGCTTTATTGTATTATAGCAGTTTTTTTTAACAGGCAGATGTTGTTTTTTCTGAGCTGGGAAAAATCAAATCTAATGTTCAAATTCATTTCACTCTATACATGTCTCCCCAAAGAAAAGCCTAAGACTATGTAGCCTCTTTATAATGGCATCTATTTGCTGCGCTCGTAAAGCGTTGCTTTTTGAAACACTGCAGAGAGAACAGCACTTTGTGAAAATAGCCACCTGTGCCGAGAGCACTCCAGCAAAGAGACAGAAAACTAAGAGCCTTTCACACTAGACAAAGGCCTGAGTTTTGCCTTCCGAGCTTGGCCAAAGCCACTTAGTTTTTTACAGGAATCGGTTTCACCCGGACGCAATCAGGCGGGAATTATTAGGGCAGGAAAATTTCTATAAACGCCCAAAACTGCCCGTAATGACTGTTAGCGGGAGGAAAGTACAGTTTAAACCTACCTTGTTGCCCCCGGTGACAAACTGTTTGTAGTTTGATCTGCTGAACTGAGGGTGTAATGCAACAACCTGCAAAATGAAAGAAAGGAGGCTTTATCATGACTTACAGTATCCTGCAAAAGTTTTCAGAACTCTTTAAGTTTAGGATGCTACAACCACAAACTATAACATATTGCAATGGGATTAGACTAACATTGAGATGTTTAATTTTTATTTATTTTTTACTATAGAAGGAAAATGATTCATGTTCTGTAAAATGTTTCACAAAAAAAACAGGTCTGTTTTCAGCTCCTTTAATAAAACCTGATGCAACCAACTACAAAAAAAAAGATCTAATCAATGAATAGCATCTCAGCATAAATTTAAGCTCAGCCTTAATCCACCTGCTCCGTGGAGGTTTCAGTGGTTTGTTACAGAACATCTATGATCAGACCAAGGGACATAGCAGACAAGTCAGGAACAAAGTAGTGAAGACAATTAAATCACACTCTGGTAAATAAAAAAACACAACATCTTACAGAGCTCCAATTAACACATCATCTAAAAATGAAGAGTACCACAACTACTAACCTGCAAAGACACACTCATCATCCTATATCGAGCCAAAACAGGTCTTTTTTTCAGTTAGCACAGCAAATATATGCATTAACATACAATAACCAACAATTCATTCTTCTGAACACACAATTTCAACTGAGAAACAGTGTGGTGGCAGCATTATACCGTGGAAAGCTAGCAACAGGGCAGAGAGAGTTAGAAAAAGTTTAAAAGGTAGTGAAGGTTCTCTTTCCAGCAAGACATTTGGCCTAAACCTGCAGCCAGAGATAAAGTGGTCATATTTAGACTAAAGCATGTGTATATTTAATTCAATTCAGTAAAAAAAAAAATAATTAAACATTTATTAATCCAAAAGGGCAATAAAATGTAGCAGTTACTCATGGTCAGCTTCTAAATATATCTGCTGTAGGGGCTGATAGCTGTAGGCTTGAGGGACCTTCTGTAGCGCTCTGTCTTACACTGGATTTGAGAAGCCTCTGACTGAAGACACTGCTAATGAAGAGGATGCTCACTGTACATAATGTTCTTCACTTTATGGACTCTTTATGACATTCAGAATGACTTAGATTTAAATTTAATTAAGGGGCTTCTACATTGAGAAGAGTTTTTCCATCCAAACTAAGTTAGAGCCACTTCACAAAGATGATGTGGAGTGATAGTCTGTAGATGTGGAAACCTGCTAAACATATAATAATAAAAAAAGTACAAGTGGAATTAAAATGTGCTTTTGCTAAGTACTCAAAAGGCTAGAAGACAAGTTCATACCATACATTTCGGATCTTTATTTCAAAAACATTTAGCATAACTTTTCCTCCACTTCACAACGATGCACAATTTGGTTTTCATTCATCATGTAGCAATAATGAAATAATAATAAAATACAATAAGGTCTGTGGCTGTGATGTAGCATACAGTAAAAGTTCATGCTTAAAATGCTTTTGCGAGGTTATAAAGGAAGGTACAGCAAAAAAAAAACCCTACTTTGATAGGACAATCGAAGCTCTCATGGAAGCCCTCTCTTGTGTAGAGGCCAAACACTTGAACCTGGAACAGAGATGAGGCGGCAGAAAAGACAAAAGCAAAGGTGAATTACTGAACATTTCTCGTTTAATTGCTGTGTCTGCAACTATCTGAGGCCAGCGGGGGGAAAAAAAAAGTTGTTGGAAGAGATTCTGATTGGCGCCCTGCTCCTCCTCAGGGTCACCAATTAGTGGAGATGATTTTTATTTTATTTTTTTCAACCCTGCAGGCTTTAGAGCAGTCCTAATCTTGGACTTGACCACATCGGCAGTTTGCTACAGTAGACTATCTGAGCACCCCAGGATGTTACCCCCACCATCCCAAAGATGCGAGGAAATCATAAAACTCAGATATGATCTGATTTTATGCATTAATGGTCAAGGATTAGGTTAGATTTTGAAGGATTAAAAGCAAACTAAATTAGAGGTGATAAACACTTGCTGTTGCATCAGCTTTAATTGTCTGCTTCCCCTTTTTTCCTGTGACAAGATCTAGTCTTTACTGAAAGTAGGAGGACAGGGCGATATCACAAAGCCTATCTTGACTGTAGAATCCATGAACGATGGTGGTGATGATAGAAAGAAACAAGATAAGAGCCAGAACATGGAGATGGTTCCTATGGAAGGGCTGATGGCTGACTGACAGCTAAACACATCAGCGTGCACTCCTTCAAACTGCTCTTTAAGATGGTTAAAAGCTGCAACTACATTTATGTGCAAATCTGGGGGAGATAAAACTCCTGGTTAATGCCCTAAATGTAGAGGAAGTGACTCCCAAACTTTTAGGTCATTAAAATACAGATTGAAGTTGATAAGATGAGCTTAAAGATAGAAAAACCCCGACTGGCCACAGAGAGAAGCTGCAGGACCAGGATCTGTAACAGCAGATGTATCTCACCTTCCCGTCCTCGGAGCAGATGCCCACATGTTCCCCACTTTCATCCAGGCTGATCTGGTTGATCTTCACTGAACTCTGGGGGTGCAAAAAAAGCATTTTTTGAAGGTTAAAAATGATAAAGGGAACATACAGTGAAGTTGCTCTTAATAACATAAACTTTCAGATTAAATTATTTGTTGTGCTTTTTAATAAAGAAATTCCAAAGTATAAACTCTTTATGTTCAATATAGAAATCAGTTGTGCTAATCATCAAAAACAAGAAGAATGTTTATCGCATCGCTGAAAGCCACCAGCTCAACTTAGAGGTTATTCTTACAATAATTATATATTATGCCTATACTTTAACATTACACTTTAAAATAATGTAACTTCCTATATGAAATTAAGTATTAAGTTTTGAACATGAAACCTATTTTTGAGCAGTGGCTGCTGTACTGCACTTTATGGTGAGTTCAGGTTTGACTTGGTAATCTATAAAAATCATGTCCACAACTTGGAAAAACATATTATGTCTATTCTTAAAACTTTGGTTTCCCTATTATCTGAGGCACCGCTGTCTATAACGGCCTTAGAAGAGAATCGTTTGGAGGAAATAGCATCATGATGTCCAAGGAAAACAGGTCAGGGATAAAGTCATAAATATATTTAAAGCAGGCTTAGGCTTTAAAAAGGTTTGATCAAACTTTGAACATTTATTAAATCCAACATCTCATCCAGAAATAGACTAAAGCACAACTGTAATCCAACCAAGACAAGGCCGTCCATCTAAACATCTAAAAGAGAACTGATCAGAGATGCAGGCAGGAGACCAATGGTGACTTTGGATGAACTGCAGAGATCCGCAGCTCAGGCCGGGAGGATCTGACCAGTGGACAACTATTAGCCATGCACGGTATAATGGTGGTTTTTATGGAAGAGTAAACAAAAAGAAAGACACCGTTAAAAGAAAACCATAACCGCTTACTCCCACTGGATGCGCAGCGGTTCCTATGCTGCAGTGCTGTGCCTCTGCTGCTGATAGCAGCATTTCTAGTCAGTCAGAGCGGTTCCACAATCTTTCAGATCACATTCCAACAGAATATAGTTATGTTTGTTTGGAAAATGGCGGCCTAGCGGTTTGGGCATAGAGCTTGGAATCTTGAGGTTCTGAGTTCGAGCCCCACTCCCACAGACTGCCACTCTGGGTCCCTGAGCAAAGACCCTTAACCCCCTAATCGCTCCCAGGGCGCCCCACGATGGCAGTCCACTGCTCTACAAGGGGTTGGGTTAAATGCAGAGGTAAATTTCTCCAATGTGAGATCAATAAAGTTCAATTATTAATAATGATCAATTATTATCAGAGTTGTAATGTTACCAAATGTGGAAAAATTCAAGGGGGACTTCATTGAGATAATGGTCATGGTTGAAGGTCTCTGATTTAAACTGTCAACTTCCTGCAAAAAAAAAAAAACAAAAAAAAAAGAAAGAAAAAAATTCCCAGCTGGACTGTTAGTATAACATTTCCAAGCACACAGGATGGCAGCAGAAATGTTTACCAAGAAGGCTTTAGCATGAACAGCTAGCAACATTTTACAACTGGAGTCGTTTTAAAGTGGCCACATTTTCCTGTCTAACTTTTAAGTCACCAAGACGATCTGAACTCGTTCTTTTTATACAAGCTAAGGATGTGAAGAACATACAGGCCCTCCTCTATTTAAAGCACTCCAGTAAAAAGGTGTACAAAAGCCTAAAAACGAGTTGTTGTCATGGAAACTTGGTGACCCCAGATGTCAATTTTACTGCTGTTAATAGCCTCAACAATGAGCCCTGGAGACTTCCTTTTCGTCCTCCTCGCTGTGTTTGTGTGTTAAAAATTTTAACCTTGCCTCAGTTCCAGTTAAACTTTTATGATTCTGTCTCACACTGTAGATATGGGGAAGTTTAGGCAATGGACTACTTCTTGTTTGTTGTTGGTTTTTCCATTCCTGACCTCCGAGTCTCATATTTATAATTTATTGAAGGAGAAAAGTATGGATTACCCATTAAAAAGTTCACAGACGCTGTGATCAGTTTAAAGATAGTAAATACAAATTGCAAAACTCTTCAAGTTACAGTCAAACTAACAAATATGCTTATAATTTGAAGGTTTATTTAATTTTATTCTCATGAGCTAACAATACACACCTTGAAGTTTTTATTAAAAAGAGCATATTAAAGTTTATTGACACCGCTCTGAATCTGGAAAAAATCACAGCCATCAAACCCTTTTTCACATATTTTTGCATTGTATACTTGGAAAGAAAGAATGACAAAGGTGGAGGAAACTAGAGAAAGACAAGAAAAAGGATAAAGTTCACAAGGAATAAATGTAAGAGAAAGACTGAAAAGGAAAGATGAGCAGTGGGAAGGAAGGAAGGAAAAGCAAAGTTAGGAATGAAGAACAGAGCAAAGGAGGGAAGGTCACGGATGAGGGAGGAAAGGAGAACACGAGCATGGAAAGACAGAAAGAAACAAACTAAGAAAAGACATGAAGGAGGAGGAAGAGACAAGGCTGGGAAAGTCTGGAGTGAGGCATCAAAGCATGACTCAATGAGGAAGGAAGGAAGGAAGGAAGGAAGGAAGGAAGGAAGGAAGGAAGGAAAAAAGCAGAACTGAACCACTCTTATCAATAAAACAACGTCATACTTACAAGGTCAAATTTCTGAGTGATATTTCCTTGAATGTCCAGCAGGAACACCTTTCCAAAATGGGTTCCCAGAGCAAGAAACTGAAAAAAAGACAAAAAGTAAGATGTTTAACAATTTTAAGAGGAAAAAAGTTGGCAGAGGTAGAGGATAAAAAATGTTTCCTGGAACATGCTCATAGAGGGGATTGGGTGGGCTTGGAGGCAAAGCTGTGAAATTGCAAGGAGTGGAAAAGCCCTATTTATTAAAGCAGACAGTGTGAAATGGCATTTTCCCCCTTAAATTAAAATGCTTAAGCATAATAAATGCTCTCTACATGCTCTTCTTGCAACCCAATCACCATTTTTTCCCAGTATACCCATTTCTTCTCCTGACCAGCAACTGGTTTCTGTTTTAAGGCTCCAGCAGGGGTCCATACGGCTGCAGATGTGTGTGCGCACAAGTCCGCGGGGACAAAAAAAATAAAAAATTACAGAAACCGGGGGCTTCTAGCATTAGATTAAGTGTGTGTTCTTCCGCCCCAGCCCCTGCTGCATGCCGTCTTCCTAATCCCCCTCCCTTCCCGAGCAGCATGTGGATGTGCGGCGAGCCCACCATGCTTCAGTGCAGTCTATAATGAAATGCTTATATTTACAGGCACAGCTGAGCATGTCAGACAGAGCCCCCTGCAATCTCCCCAAATAAAATAACCAAAAATAAATAAATAAAAGGTTCGGCCTTGTGAGGCGGAGCGACTTTTAAAGGGATTTATCAGGATGGGAATTGTTCAAATGAAATTCCAATTCAGACACTTAAAATATGAGGCAACATAAGGCAGTGCTTGCTGCCTTTAGTGTGTGTAGGGGTTTTCATGTTGATGGGGAGCTGGTTGGCTAAAGGTAAACAAACCAAATTAGAAAAACGGATAGTTAAATTCTAATTATGATTTCACAAAAACAGACTTTCTTCATGGCTGCTCCAGGTGTAGGAGACAAAAAAAAAGCCTGGACTCACAGAGCAGAAATAAATAAATGAAAATCAATTGTTGTTAATAAAACATCAGATAAGGAGACGTAACTGGGCTTGACTTTTGCTCTGCTCAGGCGTGAGGGTGTGCTGCTGGTGCCACGATGGCTAAAGATCATGCAGAGAGTGGCTCCCTTTAAAAAAAAAAAAATAGAGTAGGAGAGGAGTAAAAAATATGTAAGAAGTGGGAATAAAAAGAGGAAAAGACAATGGTGCCTTCTGAGGCACAAGGGGGGAAAGCAAGGTGAGAAAAGAATGGCCTGCCTCAACGGATCGAGCAGAAGGGATGAAAACCAACTTTGAAGATGGCATCTCTCAAATGTGCGTGTAAACAGAAAAAAAAATCCCCTTTGGAGATGATTGGAGTTGAAGCTGAAATACCCTGGTGGGGGGTGGATTACCACCCTTACCTTGTCGTGGACCGTCATACAGCTGGCTGCGTCGCTGTGGAGGATTTCAGTCACCCCGTTGGAGAGCCTCTCATACTTCAGTTTGGGCTCCTCCTCACTGTCCTCCTCCTGGTGGAGATAGGAGATGGGCTCTCACTGAAACACTTTCTTATAAGGTAGCTATTACAACAGGGTCACCTCTAAAACTCTAGAAAGATTTCTCTGAAATGATCCATGCAGGAAAAATGGGATATACAGCATGTCCTTATTTAGTATTGTGTGATTAAAACAAACCACAGATCAGTTAGAAGTTCCAGCTGTTTGAAAATAATAATTCAACTTAACCTTTAGTTACTGTTGCATACAAAATCATTTTATTACCCTATTTTTGCATTTTATCAAATCTTTTGTGTAGCTTACTGGGAACACAATTAATGCTAAGTTGAATTTAGTGCAGAGAAGGAAGATAACATGCATTTATATTTATTACCCATTATCTGAAAAGTGCGATGTGCATTTGTATTCATTTCCCTGGATACATTTATCTGTTTACGTTTACAACCTCACTTCATTTGGGAATTTTTTTCTTTCTAACTCTTTCTAAAAATGATCAATATTTCCCTCAACTCTGACCATCTTTTTTTTTCCACTGGTGCATGAATCAATTCCCACAGTATGATGGAGCCACCATCATATTTAAATAAAAATATTGAATTTTAGGGTAACATGTTTTGGATAACAATGTTTTTGTTGGAACAACTACTACATAGAGGCTGGTGTTTTTGTTTTAAATTAGTGATTCCCTTTTATTTTTAATAAAAAGCAGATAAATTATAATTTTTCTGGCATTCTCTCTCTTTACTCTTTGGTCATTGGACTGAATTAGGGGGATGTCATCATGACACTAGTCCTTTACCTATCCTAAAGGTATATCTTAATACAGAGACTGCATTATATCCTTATAATCTGTGGATATTCCAAATTTAAGGTATAGTGGAGGATGTTCTTTTTCTGGGTGGATCATCTAAATAAGTGGTCCTCCTAATTGTCAATCATTCTTGTGATATGTTTACGTAAGGCCGTCCTACGTGCTCGTCCTTATTTTTACTTACTGGTGGTGAGTTTGACATAGTGGAAAAATTGCAAATCTTCTTTTGGAAAGTAAGCTTGTATGAGTGATGCAAACAGCAACTTTTAAACAGAGAGTGCATGAGGAGAAATGGGCTCTTGCATGCGTTTAATAGGCGTTCCCTCTAGGAAGCAGATACAGAGTTGTGCATGTGCATTTTTTTTTTAAGTGGAGAGGGCGGGTCTTTTCAAAAATTTGCAAAAATTCTCCACTATATTTGTAAGCATTTACAACAAATTACAACAATAATAGCTGTTATTTCAGCAGCCGCTGCTTCAGATTTTATCATGAAAGCAGTTAAATCATGTTTTCAATGTGAATGTTTGTGCCTCAAAAATTAACAAGCTTGAATCTCTAATTCTAATGAAATTCTAACATTTATTGCTCAAGTGACACCTTTTAAATCAGTTCAAAGGTTATCCCTATGTCTCCAGAACTTGCATTTAAGGAATTTTCTTTACAAATCATGTTTTTTTTTTGTTTTTTTAAATCAATGAACTTTAGTCTGTGAAAGCATAAGGTGAAGAATTTTTTATTTATTTTTTTTTTTTAACGGAAAAATACTTCTGAATGCATTATTGTCGTTATTTATTAGGAGAAAAACAGAATATTGATTTAGGACTTGCATGGTTTTTAACAGCACTTTGTTCTCTTGCTTTTCAGATATTACTTTATCTATCAAATGGGAAAAATCTGCAAAAATGTAATGAATAACCTGCTTCTTTACTGCAATTAACATTAGAAAGATCAGCTGTATAAAATGTGTTGCTTTTTTTAAAGAATCTAATTTACATATGCTTTCTGAAAAAGATTTTTTTCCTCTCTGTTGTTGGAGCTGCTTGTCCACGGTGAAATACGTGCATCTATTGTTTTCATAAGACAAACTTAAGGCATTCTACTGCGTTACACTTTCCAGCATGAGCCCACATTGGAGGCCAGTCACAGCCTGAATATTACCCATAATTCGGTTTATAACCAATGCTGCACAGTCTGTGGCTGCCCAGAGGGTGCATCAACTCAAAACATTGTCTGCCATTATGTGCTCCTGGCTTGGAGGTGGGGGACAATAGCGTGGAAAAAATGTTATTTTCAAAAACAATCCTTCCCCACTCAACAACGCCATATCTAGGCTATTTCCTGTGTATTCTGGTTGTGAGATTTCTGATGCGAGGGCATTTGTCACGGGTTTCAAAGGCGTATCAAACAACAAAGGCAAACTTCATCCCCACAGAGAAAATACTCATTTTAAAAGTTTTGCCATTTCTTGTAAGTTGCTTTTTGTTTTGCGGACAACAGAAGTTGCTTTTATGCTGCTTTTCTTGCCTCTTGTCAGTTTAAATAACCATGCGGAACCGTTTAATCTGATGACGTCAAGGGTAAGATTCAGGCTTCAGCATAAATGGGACAGAAGGATTTCTTTCGTCACAGATTGAGATATTGACTGAAAAACCAGGCACATGACGTGGCATATAGCAAACAGTCCATCCGTGTCAAATATAACATGCAAGTCTGATGAAGCAGATGGGCAAAAAACTCTAATGCAAATACTTTCAGGTCTAACATTAATGGAAATCATGTGACTCTAATTGAGTGTCTTCAACATTTGCAGAGATCCAAAGGTTTTATGGTCCAATTCACACACAGTTCAAACTGTAGCTTCATAGCAAATTACTAAGGCTGCACTAGTGATTTCTTTTTTAATTGTTTAAGCAAATGGGAAAGATGATAATTATTTCACTTTCAACTGATCAATCAAGATTAAAAAAAAGATCAAAAAATCTTTTAAAAAGTCAATAATATTCTTACAAAAAAATCCCCAACCAGTTCCTGTTTTTTTTTTATAAATAAATAGATAAACAAATAAATACAAAAAAAAATAAAATGATCAGACTGACCAATCAGCATTCAATGGGGTGGTACTTCCTGAACTTACTGGACCAGAGCGCAAATCCCCTCTGGGTTGAACGATTCAAGATTAACAGGCAAAGTAAAATTTAAACAACTTCATTCACATACAAAAACAGGAATTCTAGAAGACATCAATTCCATAAAAACCTGAACTAGAGAACAATTAAAATCACTATTAAAAGTTTATTCACAGCTTTCTGTTCACAAACTTATGTTGTAACTCTTCTGCCTAAAGCCAAAACGTGTTGCTCTACTAGGAAGGTTATTTCTTTGGTTCCTCTATTTTACATGAAGATGCACGTATTTACTTCTATTGTAATAAAAACTTAACAAGGATTCATTTCTTTCAGACTTTGCATCTAGTGGCAGTTTTAAAAGGTCTTATTTCATAATATACCTAATACTCATTGCTATATAGTTCCTGATTATTCAACCATTTCTAACTTGAAATGAAAGAGCATCAGACATCACACAAAATAAATGTAGCTCTCAAACTTCTAAAAGAGCAGGAGCAATAATCTATATCCCACCTAAAATATGAATATATGTAAATGGTATAACTTTCAAGTGGGAATATTTAAAATTATTCATGCATCCCTCTTCCACTACATTTAAAGGCCATCTTGCGCGTGCAAATCAACATCAAAGAAGGCTTGAGAGAAAGGGCTCTCGTTAGACGAGACCTTGATCAAGCTCTTTGCCATCCATGTGACCTAAAGAACTGGTAGGAAGAAAAACAAAGTTTCTCCTAAACTACAGCATCTGCAAAGTCAGTGACAGAAACATTGTACTTTTAGACTGCTTTACTGCTAAAGGGGCAGCACAACTTTGGGGCCATGCATCATAAAATGTTGGATGATTCTGCATCTATTTGCCAAAACATAAAAGACAGACCATGGATGGGTGTAATTACAAAATAATTACCTGAATATAAATTCCACAGCAAAGAAAAAAAGGCCATCAATAATAACACAAACAGGTGATTTAGTAGCATCGCTAATTCAGATCTCAAGTCATCCTTTGAACGGATGCATGGGACAAAATACCCTTTGGCAAAACTAGAGACATTTTAATAGCTGAAACGTTGGCAAAATGCCTCTGCACAAAACACACTATATATGTATATAATTGTGTATATATGTATTTATATTTTTATGTGTGTGTGTGAATATTGGATAAAAGACAGGTTTAACAGGAAGGTTTCTCTAAGTTAATTAAAGTGCAATTAGAGGGAAAGGGGGTATGAAAAATAAGTTTTACTTCTTCATACCCCTTTTCAGACAATTTACATTAATCGATGTCAGTTCTCTGGCTGTATATACCGACAGATTTATTTGGTGGAGGTTTTTTTTTTTTTATTTATGTTCAGGTGAATTTAGTTAGTTTGGAAATTGGCTTTTGGTTTGGTTAATGTTAAATATTCTCTTTTGTGTGTATTTGGTTGATCCATTTATTGTTGTTTGTCAAATTGTTTGAAACAAATTCTTATTCATTCATTCATACATTCAGTTACATAAAGGCTGCCTTAAAACTGTGTTCAAAAGAGCAAACCCGAAGCCAGATAATATTAAGCTGTAACTACCGATTACTTTGCAAATCATTTATTCTGTTGATTAGGTTTTCAATTAAAAATCGGACAGCCAAAGGTTCCCTAAAGAAGATTTTTTATTTAATGATATCAGGTGAAACTAAAACCTTTCCACCTGTGGAGTTCTGAATCCAGCATATTGACAAACTTTTTATCTTAAAGTACCTTTTAATATGTTTTTCTTTACAATTTTGATACAATTACTATTCTAAGTGGGTTGCTCTGTCAGCTAAAGGCATATTTTACAGTCTCTATACTCCAGTAAACGATTAATCGATTACAAAATTAGTTGACAATTATTTCAATAACCGAGTAATCACAATTAATCCGATTAATTGTTTTACCCCTAGATAATAGCATCTTCTTAATCAAAATGTTAATTACCCTACAGCAGCCGATATAAAATTGGCAAACATAAAATAGGATGCCCATTAATTCATGATTTTCATTCTTTCCTTTAGCCTGCTCTGACCTACTTGAGTGAAATAGTTCAATGTTGCCTGTATGTAATTATTTTCTCATCAGCTTCCAGAGTAGAAACATAAAAATCTGTTTCCTCCCTGACGGTGGTGTAGAAGTCATGTTTTATTAAGCTGGTGTGTGATTCTCCGGAGCACAGGTGTGCTGTAACATGCCAAAGTTCAGTCCTAATGTTGGAAGATCAGGAAAAAAAACATCTGTAATTCATGAGAGCTTGACACCTTTCAAACCCTGACAAAGATCCTACAGGGATCAGGCTGTGTTGATGTATTACAGTCCTTTCAGTGGACACTGCTTTATACGAGGTAAAAATCATCCAGGTTTGACAGAAATATACTCACTCCTCTAACAATGTGTTGTTGGTGTATTTCTGTGCCGACATACTGGTGCAACTGCCTTATATTTTTACCTTTTGTTTGTTTGTGTTTTTTTATCTCTCCATAAGCCTGCCTTCATAGCAAACTACTGTTATGTTCATTTCCCATGCTTCCTTTGGAAATAGGATGAAAACATCAGTGCAAAATGATGTAATGATGAATCTTACCTCAGATTCATCTGTGAATTCCCCACTCTGCTTCCTCTCCTGGAAAATAAAAACATCCTGAGTTTTTTTCTTTAAACAACAAACTTAGCAATGCAAGATCACATGACGAACAGGTATGCTTTTGGGGCTAAATTTTAAAGAGAATAACAGAAACCTCACAGTATGGCTATAGCATCCCCGCGTTTTATTTTATCCACCCCAGATTGAATAAACAACAAACTGATTCTTTTTTTTTTTATTTCTCAAAAAGTCAATCAACAATTTTCCTGGAGTAATCTCCAAAATGACAAGAAGTGCAGAATAATGCATCAATATTAGCTTGCTAGCTTACCTGTCCCTCTACTTCCGACATTGTTAAAAAATCGTGTCCAATCGTTATACTATCTTAAAACGTCAAATAGATGTTAGCAAAGATGAAGGAAGAAAATCTTCCTAGAGAAAGCATTTAATATGTAGCATAACACAGTTTTTGTTGTCGAAGCAAGCTTCTTGGTGGCTAAATCACATGACAACGTTTAGCGCGCTAAGCCTTATGGGTATTGGAGTTTGAGAGCCCAGAATAACCACAGTGGGAAGGTTTAGGTACAGCAAGCATCGGAAGCGTTATCCCTTTTTTTTTTTCTTTTTTTACGTTAAAGCGAATTTTAAATTTAGTTTTTAAGTTTCAACTAACTATATTTACTTTTTTTAAAGGTGTGGACGTCGTTGAACCAAACAGTCTTCAAAACATATTACTTTAAGGTCGTGTCACTGTTTTTATTACATTTAAAAATAGCCTGATAGTTCTGCTTGTTTGCTTGTTTTCTTTTCTCTGATATTTTAAATACATTGTAGCCCGCGTTTTGACCAGTTTAAGCTGTTCAGTATTTTAGGTGTGAATGTCTGACTGAAAATGGGACGTTCAAGGACTGAAGTGCCCCATATGTAAGTAAAATATTGACACCCAAACTTCTCACTAATATACGTAAAATATGGCCTCTTCCATAAAAAACTTAATGACAGATAATATTTACAATCATAGGCATAGCCAGAACATTTTTATAAGGGGGGCCAGGCAATAACCAATGTATACTGAACGGTGGCCGAAAGTGGATAGGCACCAAAACTTGACGGTCAATCTCCACTGTTCCAACAGGAAAATTAATGAGCAAACCATCCATATTTTCTAAATAAAGACAAACTATACTTTGCCACAGCCATTGCTAACAAATAGACAAATATATTCAAACATATGTGCTTTGTAAAATAAAAGGTATAGTGGATAAAAATTCTTTCAGGTTTGAGTTTTGGGTGAACATCTTTTCCATTGTCATTACTTACCTACTTTTATCAATAATCATTCTGCATAAAATTGATATTTACAAGCACTAATATCTACATAGATTGATTAATAAGTTTTTATTAAAATAGATATTTATCTACGATTTCACTGAAGACTCCTTGATGACTTGCAGAGACGCATCATTTTCTCTTTACACCATAAAACACAAAATATCATCTTTAATGTTAGTATATTGATGTGCATAATTAACCACAGTGTTTTTGTTGTAAAGTAATTGTTAATATATGAAAAATTTAAATGTTTTGAATATTCCACTTGAGAGCATTACTGCTGCCACCTCTATATTAGAGAGAAATGAATGGTAGGGGTGGCCGTGGGGGGTGGGGCTGGGATGGGCAATGATTGGCTAAGGGTGGCCATGGCCACTCCTGCCACCCCCCTCTAGTTCTGCCCCTGCTTATAATAAAAAAGAAGTGGGTTTAAAAAAAAGTAAAGAAAGAAAGATAAAGTAGATGAATAAAGTGGACAGATATTTTTGATATAAAGTCAAAAAAATTCTTACAAAAACATCCCCAACCAGTTCCTGTTTGATAAATAAATAGAAACCAAATATATGGCAAATCACTTTTTAATTCCCACCATGCAAAGTAAAACTTAAACTACTTCAATTCACATACAAAAACAGGAACAGATAAATATTTCCTTTCAGACATTAAGGAAATGTATGCAGTAATAGTTTCTGGGTTTAAATGAATAATTAAGGTGAATTTTTCACTGTTGATTTTTTTTCATAATTAGCTACTGTGATGGTTTTCTGTGACAGGATTTGGCTGAACAAATTTAAAGAAATTGTGACGTTTGTTTCCTGTCACTGTTGATATTTTACCCACATTATATTCAGTTTGACCAATTCTTTCTATATGCTCATGGAATTAGATTGACATGAACTAGAGTCTTTAAATGTTTTTTTTTCTCCTGAAATTCTTAGGGTGTCATGATCTGAGAGTAATATCAGATATCATTCTGATAGTAGCCAAAAAATTTGTATTGGATTATATCAATCGAAAAATCTCCAATATTTGGCATTTTGATTGAAATATTTGCTTCTATTTAAAGTTTCTGCAACTTATTTGCAAATATTACATTGGTCAGTTGTTCTCATAACTATTGTTTTTTACTATTTTTAGTAATATCACTTCATCAAGCCTTTTCTAACATTCTAAAGTATAAACTAAGTAATAAAATCATAATGCTTTTAGTGCTAATATCGTCTCGGGTAAATATTTGTATTGTATCGGAAATTAAAAACTTGTATCGGGGAAATCCTTAATTTACATACACTGTTTACGAGAACATCACAAAAATAGAAAATTTTGAAAAAAGAGATATCATTTTCACTCATTTCAGAAAGATAAACTATAATCTTGGTGGGTATTGCTTACACTTAATGAAAACCCAAAATTCAGTGTCCTAAAGAAATAGAATATTGTGAACATTTTTACTCAAAAACATTATCTGAGGTTTTCTGAGTCTCAAAATTGTCGTTCAGTCAGAGTCAGTAGGCTTTACAACCATGGAGAAGACATTCCCTCTACGGGGACTATAAGTCAGAAAAGAAAAATTAGCATTTCATTTAGTCTAGAAGTCATGTTCTGGAGAAAAAATCCAGAGTGACGTGTTAACAGCAGTGGTGTCAAAAGTACTTAAGTAGAAGTATAGATACTGCAGTTTAAAAACACTCTGGTAAAAGTTGAAGTATCAACTTGACATCTTTACTCAACTTAAAGTATAAAAGTATAAAGTAACCTTTAAAAAAATAGCCTGGTGCCACTATATGAATTGAAAACTCAATTTTTCAACTATTTCGAACTGTTCTTTTATAAAGTCCAAGTTAATGAAGGACATTTTAGAGCGCTTCCTTCTGTGGACAAGCCTTATAGAGTTACTGTTTTTATTTCCCAGCAAGACTTGGTACCTGCCCCCACTGCCAAAGGTAACAAACACTTGTTCCATGACTATAGTGTTACTCTGCATGACTGGCCAGCAAAGTGGCCTGACCTGAAGCTCATTGAGAACTATGTTTTATAAGGATACCAGACCCAACAATGTAGATGCCCCGAAGGCTGCTATCAAAGCAATTTGAGCCTCCATTACACCTCAGCAGAACCACAGGCTCATCGCCTCCATTCCACTTATGCTATTAATTAAATATTTCACATAGACAAAGGTCCAACCAAGTTCTGACGTATATATGCTATTTTGATGTTAGGTTGTTTTATCTTTCAGATTTTTTTAAATTTGGATTTTCATTATCTGTAACCTGTGATGATCGTTTTTACCCGAAACAAAACACAAAAAGGGTTAAAAAATATTTCATAATGAATCAATGTCATGCATGATTTTCACTTTCTTCAATGACAGAGTTGTGATTAAATTCACATTTTTAAGATGTGCCTGTATTAAAAGGAACATGGCTTCTGTCACTGACTGACAATCAATTGTTTCAAGTCAGTAACTAAAACAATATCTATATGCTAAATGAAAATAACATTTGGGAGAGACTGTCAAGGCTCAGAACATTCCCAGTATTCAAAGCAAGACAGACATATTATTCAAAAAGCGTTTATGTAAAAATGATGGATTTGTTAATTCCTCATCATACTCAAATAAAAGGATGGTCATAATCTTAATACATAAAAATCTCCCTTTCACAGTTTTAGACACATTTAAAGACACAGAAGGAAGATTAATCTTGATTAAAGGTACTCTATATGGAGAGAGTTTATAGCTGTAGTGTACACAGGAAAAAGTCCGGAGGTATTTTACTGAAGATAGATGTTAGCAGGGTCAATTGAAAACTGATGAACGGATTTTACCAGAGGTGTGCCTCATGCCATGCTTTATTTGAATTTGGTAATCATCCAGATAATGTGCAAGTTTAGTTGTTAGTCATTTGGGGCAAAATGTGCTGCTTGGCAGAGGTCTGCTCTCTCCGAGTGCTTTTCTAGTTCTTGTACTGAAATTGTCTATAAAGTAACTCAGACAGGAAAAAGCCATTACACCAAACACAACATTAAAAGCCAAGTTACAGTTTGGTAATACATATATGGACAAAGAACTTTACATCTTTAGGCACATGCTATCGTCTGATGAAACAAAAACGAAAGTGTGGCTCCATGATAAGCACAGTCACATTTGAAAGGAAAAAACTGGAAGCTTGTAAGCCCTCAGACACCAGGCCTGTGATCTGAGAAGCCATGGGGCGGCGGCCTCATGGAGAGTAATGATGAAAGGAAAAATGCTTCATGAGGAAAGAACCCATTGTGGAAACATCTGGTAAGATCTAATGACATCATCTAGAAGGTTAAAGCTTGCTTATAAATCATAAACTATATTATAAATTATAAACTTTAAATAGACAGTAATGCTCAGCATCTTGGCAAATTAGTAATAAAATGGTTTAAGAAAAAACAAAAGTCAGTCTTTTGCAGTGGCCATCTAAAACCTCCTATATTCAGCTCCACATCAGTTGGCAGGAACAACCCATTGGGAGAAATAAATAAAAAAAACACAGTAAGCATTTTACTGATACACTTAAAAAGACAGTTTGTACATATGCTACTGATATATTTACACTTCCAAATTCAAGGAAAGTAGAAACGTTAGCAAATAGAAATGATCTTGGTTGCATTTAGTTTGACCACAATGCCGATGAATTGAAATCAGAGGAGTGGAGTCACTAGGTATATTTACTCAGTTACCTTTATTTGAGTAACTTTTTGAGAAAAAATACTTTTAGGAGTAGTTTTACAACATTATGCTTTTTACAGAATCATTAGTCTTACTTGAGTACAATTTCTGGTTACTCATTTTGAGTAATTTCTATCAATGAAAAGCTTATTTAAACAAAACTTCACCGGAGAGGTACACCCCTACTACCTAACTTTACATTTTTAACCCATTTTTAAAATAGTACATCAGTTGTTATGTTCCTGAGTGGTTAGCAGATCAGTTACTCAGTACTTTAAAGTTTTCTTGAATAGCTGCTACTTAATTTTGAGTAAAAATGTGACGTAGTAGGGCCACTTTTACTTGTGTACAGTTTTTGGGTACTCTACCCACCCCTGCTTCAAAGTACTTAGGTATTCATAAAGTGGAAATACAAGCTATTATGATGGAGGCATAAGTAGCGACCCAAAAACTTTTCTGATATTTATAAACAGTTTCAAAGAGAAATATAA